TAGATGCGCCTGCGCATAATGACGCTCGACCATCTATGCCCATATTTGGACTTCGTGCGTCTCCCTTTCTCGGGCCTCGTGCCTCTCATTGCAAAGATACGCGACTAGCCACGGCTGCTGCACACAGTGTATGACAGTGGGTGCGTTCAGACAACTTATCGGTTGAGAGATCATCACTTATGACAGGACTGTTCTTCAAAATCTGCTGCGGTTCCAAAAGTATGATCCAATCAGAAGTGATTATCTCTCAACCGTTGTGCAACTGTTGAGTTGTCTGAACGCACCCAGTGTTCCGTTGTTGGAAAGCACCCACAGTGTCGCCTGTGTACGTAGTTGGAAAGCACCCCTAGTATCACTGACTGGCGTATGGACTAGCTTAAATGGTCCACTGCACCAAACCAAATCATATAAAATGTTTACATTATTAGTATTTCTTTAAAATTAAACAAACAAAAAGTTTCCGTTCCTTTAAAAATCACTCAAGATAAAAATTTCAAATGTACAAAAAATGGTCTGACTAATTAAGAAATAGTTTGACTAATAAGAAAATAGGCAATTTGTTATATTAATAAACATAATCTTTCTTGCATTCTGCATTGTATTATTGATCTGCCTTACTAGGTAACTCATCCATTGCACATTTTACATGAAAATTTACACAACTGTTTCAGAACGGAAAGCACAATTAAAAGAAGTGTATATTGAGGTAAAAACTTAAACCATGTCCAAAATCAAGACGATTTCATCTCTTTTGTTTTTCTACTGTATTTACTTTGCATGTGCTCACAAGTATGAGGGCTGTTTTCAAAGCTCTGCTTCAGACCCTGAATTACCTTTTCCAAGTTTGGAATATGCTAGCACACTTACTGATTGTATTACAGCATGTCATTCTCGATATTATATGTAAGTATCATTAAAACTTCTACATTAATATATAGAAATAAATATCAAGATGTTTTTTTTCAACAGGTTTGCAGGATTAATGAATGGACAAAAATGCTACTGTATCAATAAATTTGGTCAGAATGGCCTTTCAAATAGTTGTAACATTCTTTGTGTCAATGATCTTAATAATTATTGTGGTAGTTACGAAGCTATGAGTGTTTACTCCACTGGTCAGCAAGGTAATGTTTATAACAATATAATGATGACATAAATATCTGTTATATAGTAAGTATAAACAAATAAGAATAAATATATGTATGTAAAATTATAAAAAAATTAGGACCAAGTCCACCAAGAAAAATACAAATAAGTCGAGATGATATAAATGCTCTTGTAATAACATGGCAGCCATCTGATATACCAAATGGAAATCTTACATTTTACACCATTCGGGCTGTTGCCCTAGAAACGCATGCAAGGAATATTTTACCACCTGTTGAAAGTCAGATCCAAGGAGGTGCATCCAATATTACTATTCTGAAAGGTCTCCAACCTGGTACTAAGTACAATATATCTATTACTGCCAGCAATATGCAAGGTGTCAGTGATCCAACATATATAATAGCATGGACTTCAATAGGTCCCCCTGATAAACCAGCTACACCTAAAGTATTAGACCATGGTAATAGTACTATAATTGTCAAGCTTACAGAAGGTCATAGCGAGTTTGGACCAATAAGCACATATCAAGTCGTAGTTGTACAAGCTGGTACTTTACCTCCAATTGGTCCTAATGTTGAATATTCGAACTATGATCGCGCGTTAGAGCAAGATTTAACATATTATGTTACCGCACAATTCGATCCGTCGGATTTTTACAAATATAACAAGTTTATTGTAGGTGATGGGAAATATATAGGAGGTTATTATAATGCTCCTTTAAAGAACCATTTTGCTTTCGCGCAAGTTGGTTTAGTAGTAATTTCACGAGTGCAAACAGAAATACAACGTTCTTATTCTGACTTGACCAATTATATATTTAAGCATGAAACAATTATGAATCAAATTGATTCAACAGCCTTTATGCTTTGCATAGCAATTACAGTTTTGAGTATACTACTCGCTACTTCAGTACTAGTTTATTTTCTATTGCGACGGCGACACGAAAGATTTAATATGCAGAAATTGCCGGAACGGCAGGAGCTCACTTTGCAGGGTCCAGTATATGAGATAGACAACATGGCTTACATACCAGAAGATATTCCTGAGAGAATAAATCACTATCAAGAACTGAAGAAAAAAATATGCAGTATACCACGGAATTCTCTGTTCATTGATAACTTAGTTCTATGTAAAGGGCGATTCGGTACTGTGCACAACGGTACTGTATCAAAAGATAAACAATCTTACCCAGTAACGATTCACACTATAGCTGATAATGCCCTCAAAGAATCTGATAAAAAACACATGTTGAGAGAATTGGACATGTGCATTCGAGCGGGTTCCATCAAATATCTCGCAGGTCTCGTCGGAACCTGCGAAACTCTCGACACATTATATATAGTACTGGAATTACCACCATATATATTGAAGAATTGTTTGTTAGATGCACGTTCTGGAAATATGTTTCCAGTAGATCATATACCGTTTATTTCATCTGCAATAGCGAGTGCCTTGCAACATCTGGCGAGTCATAAGATCATTCATACTCATCTATGTGCACGAAGCGTAGGTTTAACCAATGATTGGACACCTAAACTTATAGGTCATGGCATTGGAAAACATGTTCTCGAAGATATCAAATATATCAGATGGACGGCGATTGAATGTTTTGACAATCAGAAAAAACATCAATCAAATGTAATTTGGGCATTTGGCGTGCTTTTGTGGGAGATATTTAGCATGGGCGGTACACCATATTCGAATTTAATACTTGACAGCGAAGTGGAAAACGCTGTTGCGCGAGGTGTTCGATTACCGCAATTGTTGGACATTTCAGATCCAATTTATGAGGTCATGTCATCTTGCTGGCGAGAGAATCCCGAAGAACGACCGACATTCGATGAACTTGCACGACCGGTAAGAAAATAATTGATTTACATTATTTAATATATTTATTAATTACATGAATTTTTTGTAGGATATTTTGAGCATTTGTCCTATTACAGCAATCACGGAGCCGTACATACCAGAATTCGAGTTAAAGTAATATTTTTTTATATATGTACTTGCATTTGCTTAGTGATAACGTGCGATATCGAATTCCAATTTATAAATATTGTGTTCACATAAGAATCTCGTAACTTTATCTATATATATTTATTATTATAATGTAACTTTTTCAATGTAATATACGTTATGTATAGGAATGTTCTTTTTAAACTTAAAAAGATTGTTTCAATGCAACATATATATACCCAGTAAACAATTTGTTCGCAATTTGCCGGCAAATTGTCAGCAATTTCAAGCAAAAATACTCAGCAAATTGGCATCAACTGTGTCCGCATTAGGCTTCGATTTTGTTGCCAAAGCTTGTTGACAAATAGTAACAGCAAGTTGCTAGCAAAAAACGAGCAAAGCTTGATACATATTGAAACATATTTTGGTCTGAGACCAAATTGACGCCAAATATGAAGCGAGATCTGCGCAACACGACACAGCTTTGCTTGGTTTTTGCCAGCAAGGTGCTGTTATGTTTTGTCAACAAGCTTGAATATATTTTTGCTAGCAATTTTGCAACATTGCCACAGACAAAACACACTCTGCATCATATTTGATGTTTTTCCGCTAATAAAATTTGTAACAAACATTTGGCAAAATCTGTTTCGACAGATTTGGTTATCTGGGTATATATATATATATATATATATATATATATGTATACAAAATGTCTAAAAATTTGATCAAGCTGAAAATAAATTGAATCAATTTGATCAGAAAAGTCATTTAATATTTTTTTTGCAAAATCCATAATATTTATTGAGTAATTGAGGAATATGGGCGTGAAAAGAGATATTTTACGATATTTCAAGCATTTGATATATAAAAACAAAATTTCATTGTTATGCAGTCTATACTTAATATCTTATGTGCAATTTAACGATGATCAAACATATTTTATGTTCAAAGTGTTTATATTTTTATTTCAAATAAATAAAACTAACACAAAAATAAAGATAACAAAAAGATACAGATAACGACGGTAATACACATATTTTTTTGCAAAAAGTATAAATAAGTATTATACAGGATAAAGTAAGATATAAGACGCTTGTTATATAAACAATAATAAGAATAAGGGAGGTCAAATCGAGCCAAAAACAGATGAATATATTTAGATAAAAGTAATCAGATAGCCAACTGAGTGCAAGTTGTTGGCAACTTGCCACAAATATTGCTCATAAGTTTTCAGCAATATAACAAAAGAGTGTATCTTCTTTTCAGTATGTTCTTGCCAGCAACAGTTTTTTAAAATATAATAACAGCAAGTTCCCAACAACTCATCGGCAATAAACTTATATTATTTTTCTCAACTTATGAATAAAAATCATTGCTCACATATTGCTGACTCACTTGTCATAAACATTGGCTATAACAATTGATTGACAATAAAACTCAGCATATTGACACTGAATTGACAAAAACATTTTCGTTGCATTAAATAAAACCAACACAACAGCAATCGGCAAGCAACTTAATCTGTACAATGATTTGCTTTATATTGAGTTTTCACATTTGGCTATCTGGAGCATATGTGCTCAGAAATATTAAACTTGTGAAACGTTTCAAGTTCTTACATGAATCTTCATCAGTCGCGATCGATTTACATGTAAAAATAAGAAAATATAAAAAAATAAAATTAGATTGTGGATGCGAAGTTGATTAAAGCTTCTCATAAGATGTGTGCTCCAATTATGAAAAGATTAATCACATAAAAAGAGACAGAGTTGTCCATGAGAGTTAAAATGTTGTAAAATTGTAATATAAGTCCTACAAAGAATACATATGCATTGAAGAAAACGCAACTAACATTGACACAAACATAAAATTGTTACTTACAATATATCGATGTTCAAAGTCAACTGGGAAAGAACAGAGGCAGTTATACTTATTCCTACTCTTTAAATATTTATATATATTTATTCTTCCAAGGAAAATAGTTAAGAGACATAAAACTTTTTTCTAAGAGACTAATCTTTAAAATGATTTATGTATATCAAGATTCAGCTTTATGGTCTCAACTTAATCAATGATCTTGTAATGTTAGACAGTCCGTATTTTGAACTCTTAAACAGAATGAAACACTGAATTCGAATACAAACATTTAATGAACAACATTAAGGAGAAAACAAATCACCGAATTACTTTCTATATCTTATTATTTTCTATTTTGTTCTATATATTCCATCAATTTCAGACCAAATGAGTACGTTACTAAACATTAACAACAAAAAAGACAACCCGACTTTCCTACAGAAATCTTAAAAGATAACATATCACGAAACAAAAAGAAAACTGTAGTATATAATATCAAACAGTAGCACCAAGTAAACTTTTGTACGTTATCATATTGAAAAACAATATTGAATAGAAATACAATTTAGGATAACATACTTGTGTCAAAAGTAAGACTGTCTTAACTTTTTTCCGTTATTATATATAATACAAAACATTCTTTCTCTAAAAAGCTGTTTTATTGTTGAAAAACAATATACAATAGAAAACAATATAGAATAGGAAAACAATATACAATAACATAATTGTGTCTATCGTAAGACTACGCTTTAACTTTTTTCCGTGATTATTTAGTAATCTTAAGTACATACACTGAAAAAAAATTTCTTTTTGTTAAATAAATACATTTTTTTATATTGACTTGTTTATATACAAAAAAAATTTTCTTCGAAAAACTGTATCATAATATTAAATATATAATTGACTGAATATGCTAAAAAATAATAATTCTTCAAATCAAATGTCGATTTTGAAGTAAAAAAACTGTTTATTTAATGATAAAAAAATGTTTGTTAAAATACAAAAAGTTAATTTTTTTACTTAAACACAAAAACTAAAATATTTTTTTGTTTTTATTAATTTAATACATTTGGAAATACAAAATAAAATAGTTGATAATTTTATCTAAAATAAAAAAATAGTTTTTAGTAGTAAGAGTGCACTTATATATAAAAATGCAAACAAAAAAATCTGGTTTTTAAAATAACATTGCAGTTAAAGAATGAAAAAAAAAAATATTTTTTGAAAGTAATTTAAAAATAAAAACAAATATACTTTTAAAATTATAGTATAGTCAAAAGATAAAACTAAATATTTTTTTAAAAAATTCGAAAAGTGGTTTGCCTTGATTTTGCCTTTTTCACAAGATTCACCTAGTAGCTGGCAAAGCATACCAGCATTACCTCTTTCTATCTCTCGTAGGTAGATAAAAAGAGTAAACTTGCGCTCACGCACACCAAGCGCGTGGCTCACTGACGTATGCCCGGCTAAAGGTCGGCGCTGATTGGCCTGATTTACTCAATAATTACTCCTTTATTACATGTAATAGAAAAAAATTATTCAGGACTTTTCGACTCACTTTTTACTTCTTTTATCTGCCTACGAAAGGTGTTAAAGTAATTGTGGGACATCTTGTATATATATTATATCAGTATATAAGTCAACGCACAGAAAATTGAAGTGGTTGCTAATTAGTGTTTTGCTAATTAGTACTTTAATATAATTTAATATAATAAAATTTTTTAACATAATAAAGTGCAGTGATTAAACATTTTTTGTAGTTTTAATATATTTAAGTACATTTCACTATTCGAGTGAAAATTGTTGACAAGACATTTTCAAAGGTAAGTACACAGTATATAGTTTGAATAAGTTTTAAGAAGAAGAAAGAAGAAAGAAGAAGGAAGGAAAAAGGAGGGAGGGAGAGGAAGGGAGGTTGTAACAACGATACGTTCGGTAGCGTTCTGCTAAAAAACGTTCGGTCTACCGGTAAAAACACGCGCGAAACAAACATAGCGCGACTAACGCGCAAGTGATACTGTCTGCAGTCTTTCTTGTTCTTTCTCGAGCAGCATAATCTCGAGTGAAAAGTGCTCAGCAGTTTTCAAAACTTATATACTATATTCCTGTGGTTTCTATTTTACATAGATTTTTCACAAATCTCTTGTACAATTCCGTTACACTATGACTAATCGAAGACATCCGGACAATACTAAGAGATCTGAATCTCTAGAAAATCTTATTGAAACTTTTGAAAGCAAGTTTTTTATCTTTAGGATATTACTTGTCATGTTTTATCACGCTATTGTTAATTGTTAACTATAAAATCGTATGAAATCTATGAATATTATTGACAAAAACTTAAAAATTTAAACATTAAAAACTTTGCAACTTATCGGGCGTTTCTTATACGTTTCAACGAAATCGGACCGAAACTTAAAAAGCGGACATTTCGACGTTTCCGCTACGTTATTACGACGTTTTAGAAACGTTTAACGAAACGTTGCTAAGTTTCGGAAAACCCGTTGCAGAAACGTTTGCGCTACTTACGATGCTATGTGGGTATATATTGTCGAATTTTATTTATTAAATTTAAAGCAATTTGCATATTAAAAAAGTATGAATAAATTGTTGGTTTTATATAAAAATTATTAAACAATTTTGTTTATATATAATTTTACTTTATTATATTATTATATTATTTTACTTTATTTTATTATACTTTATTTATTATACTTTATTTTATTATATTACATTTTCTTCACCATAGTCCAACCGTTTCTATGAACCAGAACGTAACACTTGCTTACGTGTGTATTGTACAAACAGCCTTTATAATGCAAAAGTATATGATAGATTATATTTAAAATATTACTTCTGAAATGTATATATTGATTAAAAATAATAACATAGAAGTGTGCGATTGTGCTGGAAAAAATGCTAAGAAAATACACAGTTTGTCCGGAAAGTTCCCGGACTGATTTTTTCTAGCGCGGGTAAGCGGCGCTATCGAGCGGTCAACGCTGGAACTACTTAGTAT